CTATGATGTATTGGGTTAACTTGCAGGGTAGTGATAAGACTCATCATACACGCACAATTTTCAATGATTGCTGGGTATATAAAAAGAATTGAGGAAATACGTTTTGGATGGAAATATGAACAGTGGGATTGTGGTCTGGAGAATGAAGTCTGTCCAAACATACCATTAAATGGAGTGTCAGTATGGAATCTGAACCTATTGTTAAAGTGAGATTATTGGAGGCCCGGGAAAAAGCAGGACGAGAATATAGTAATTGTTATGAAATCAATGTTTTTATTATATACATGTTTATTCTTTTATACAGATTAGATGGATCTAAAAATCCAATCGATCAAAAAGTTGGTATAGGAGTGTACATTTACAAAATCAGTATGGAAAAAAGAACAGTTTTATGGAAGGCACAGAAAGGAAGAAAGTAATGATTTTAAAGGGTGGAACAAATTCAACACTTGCATTAATGGGGAAGCATGAAAATGGTATGTGTGATGAATGTGATGCTTTAGACACAGTATGTGCTTTTTAAACGTAGTAAATACGATGATTAGAGTAGTCTTTTTATCAATATAAAGAATAGAGCAGCGAGTGCCATGGACCTTTTGGGAAAGGGTTTGAGAGATGATCAGATAGGCAGTAGGCTATATGGCTGTTTTAAGCTTTTTAGAGCTTACAGGATTAGACCAAAGGATTTAGGCCTAGGGTCTGTGGATCATGATGCTTCTGCCCACCTTGGAGTTTGAGGAGTCCAGTGTGGAAGCTGGAGGAGCTGTACACGCAGCGCCAGCTGAACTGGGGTGGGTGGGGCATTATTCTTAAGTCGCACTATCCTTCAGAAAGCATTCTGATATTCTTACTACTACTACTACTACTACTAATAATAATAATAATAATTAAAAATAAATCAGCAATTCAATTTATGCTCAAATGAAGCCACAGCAGCTGTAACAGAACACAGCACTTTGGAAGGTGCTATTTATTTTTATGATCACTAGACGGCCACAACGTACACTGTGTTGAAAAGCTTCGAGTAATGAATCCTTTTGCAATAGAGTTGAGAGAGGAAAGCCCCTTCACAAAGCTTCGTTTAACAATCACTACCAACCACAACCTGTTTGTTCATGACAGTCATCAGCAGATGTCGCTGTTTTACAACTATGAGCTAATAAACAGGGCCAATTTGTTTGAGTTGTGTCCCAAATGATACGCTGCACACTTACGATGTGTACTGTCATTTAGTGTATGAATTTTAGCCCATGCATGTTGTTTCAAATGGAACACTTTTTTAATTATATATTATATTATATTATATTATATTATATTATATTATATTATATTATATTACACAGAGAGGCATTTGCCAGTCAAAGTCGCATTAAGTCTTGGATGAAGATCACACAGGTTTATACTAGGGTGCCATTTGATTTGGGACATGCACTGTTTACTATTTTATAAACGGTAAACTGTGGAGACGTGCTGAAATGGCGTTTGGTCTCGTACTGTATCGCGTAAATTGTCAGTGTCGTGCGTTTTTTGCTTGGCCATTTGTTGGGATAAACAGGAAAGTGTGTCCAGCTGAATTCAATTTGAGTTTTGTTAAACGAATTAAAAAGAAGCTTAGTTTACCGCGGAAGCGGTCGTGGTAAGACCGAAGAGTGTAAACACCATC